CTCTCTCTCTCGCTCATTTTTCTTTTTTTCCCTTTTTCAATCTTAAAATCCGACTAGACTATCCTCATTATCTTCCTCTTCCTCTCCGACTATCTCCATTATTTTCCTCCTCATCTCTAGTTGTGAGTCTCTCTTCTTTCTGAACTGAAACCGGAATCGACTTAAAATGAGTAAGTTATAACATCTTACTTATAGGCTTGGGAAACAAAATGGTCATGTTTGGCATCATAAGATTCATCTGTGGCAACTTAGAATTCACCTGTGGCAACATAGAATTCATTTGTGGCAAAATTTGGTATATTTGTGTAAACATATGATGTATCTGTGGAAACATAAGATTTATATGTGGCAACTAAAATTTCATGTGTGGCAATAGTAGATACATATGGGGCAACATAAAGTTAATTTATGGTAACATACTATCAATCTGTGGCAACAAAATGTTAATATTATTTTACAATGAATTGTAAACTCTCGATCTTTTTTATTTACCTTGTGGATGAAATGATAGAAGAATTTTCATCCATGACAACAACTCAATCTTTTATTGGTCTTAATTACTCTTCTAACAATAAATGTTCTCTTTGTATATGCGAAGAATGTGAGCAACAAAATTATTATTTTATTAGTCGTGTTAAAAAACTCACTGATATTTTTAAGGAATTGTCTCATAATATAGATGTCCAAAGATCCATGAAGAATTCACATCCTTTGAAGTGTATGAGGTTGAAAAAAATATTTCCCAAACACTTTATATTATTTGTGAGAAGAAAGAAAAGGAGAAGAAGGAAATGGAGGAGAAGGACAAGGAGAAGAAGGAAAAGGAGGAGAAGGAGAAGGAGAAGGAGTCGAAGCAGAAAGACAAGGATAAGGATAAGGAGAAGGGCAAGCAGAATGAGAAGGAGGATAATGAGAAAGAGAAGGAGAATCAGAAAGAAAAAGCCAAAGCAAAAATGAATGAAAAGAAAGTCGAGGTCGTCATTTGTGATGTGAAGTGACAATATCCATTTGAAAGTTTTAACATTGACAACGAGGGTCCAACTGAACTAATGTTAGGTTTCTCGCAATGGATAAATGAGGATCTTTACAAGCATCATGTAAAAAAGTAAAGTCGTTAAACTATTATTTGTATTTCTTCTTGTTGTCCATTAAATAACTCTTTATAATGATTACATAACTACAGAAGAGACAAGGATGATCACTAATTAAACTATAACTCGAAACTTGGTTTTGACCAACTTGATTTTGTAGTTGCATTTCCAAAGAATAAAGAATTGGTTCTACGTAATGACTCAATCCAATAAGTGATGGACTGATGTGGTAAATCAATGTTCAATTTTATGTTTTCATTAATACATGAATATATACGAATAAGTTGATACATAGATACACTTGTTTGATGCATTTGTGCAGTATGTTGATTTTATTTTTACTATTTGCGTAATAAGACGAAGCAACAGAGTCATTCTAAATATAGATATACCACTACTAGTTATTTTATCAAAACATACATTGACAATTCTAGTATTGTTCATGAATATGAGGATAAATCTTCGGAATTATGAAAGGGTTTGGCATAGCTTGTGGGCTGCCTTGACACTTTACAGATGATGTTTATGTCCCTGTAAATAGTAATGGGGACTTCCATTGGGTCTTCGCAATCGTTGCATTGAAAGAACGGTGCATAAAAGTTTATGATTCGATGTCCTCATCTTGGTCTAAATGAAAGTTATCCTCTGATATTCGAAAATTGTCTACAATGTTGCCAAAGTACCTTGAGTTAAGTGAATTTTTTTAGCAAAACGAACAATCCAACTGGTTAGTTCTTTAATGTTACCAAGGAAAGAACAAATATCATGCCTTCGAAGTCAGACATATAAATTGTATTGCCCAACAAAAAAGTAGTAGTCTTTAAGTATCACATTATTTTTTTTGGTCTTACGGCTATCAAAATATGATGTTGTTATATTTTCTAATTGATGATATACCGCACAGAGATTGTGAACATTTTATCACTGCATACGCTGATTTTTTAAGTAATGAACTAGAGTACCATATTGTAGACTAAGTGCTGAAACCCATCGCATGAGATATGCTTCACTCCTATGGAATTATAGAATTTTAAAGGTTTGAAAGGACTATGTTAGTAACAATGAAGACCCACATAGGCCTAGAACTAAAAACGCAAAATTGATATAAATATTGTGGTTACCACCATCGATTAGATAGGTATTCATGGATATCATTTTGAATTACATTTTTATTGTTAAATTGTACAAAACAATTGGTGAAGTGCTAAGTTTTGTTGATAATATAAATATATATAATTTTTATGATTATTTTGATTTTTGTTAGAATAAATGTCAATTATGATGTAGAGGAAGAAATGTGGTTTTTGGGGCGACATATATAGCTTTTGTTGTAAAAAACACCACATATTTATCTGCATGTATACCAACAGAAAGGATACATGTGACAACATATTTTAACAAAAAGGAGATATATGGTAAGATATATCACAGAATAAATATATGTGATAAGACATGTCACATTATCATCCTGAATAACAACACTTTAATATTATTGATAATCGAAAACCAAAAAATTGAATAGACTTATTGATCATCCTTGCACCCTACTGTTTATAGATAGTATAGCGTATTATTGTTATTGTTATTATTATTATTGTTGTTGTAGTTGTTCTTGTTGTTGTTGTTGTTGTTTGGGAAAAAGATCTGAAATATATCTGAAATTTGATCGAAATTGTGATAAAATTTTTTAACTTTGGGTAAGAGTTGTTACTCCCCTACACTATTTAATAGTGTATTTTAATGATATATAAGTGTTTAGCAGGACATGTTACTATTTATAATAATGCAAGATTTATAATGTTCATGTGGGCACCAATATATCTTTAAAATACAGTATTATATAGTAATGGGTTATAAGTCTTGTCCAAAAATTGAAATTGTTACGATAGTTTTGGTCAAAGTGCAAATATATTTAAAACTCTTTACCCAAAAAATTTACTCATCCATTTCACGATTTATATAGTAATTGTTTCACATTTAATCAATAGTCTTTAACAATTACATTAGTCAACTATTCATTAATTTTCAAGTAATATGTACTTATCACATTATAAGATATACATATAACAAAATTTAATGATGTATACAATTCATAAATTTAATAATTTGACCACTTTAATCACTAACAAACTAGTTTAACTACTATATTGACTAATACATGTTTCTGATTAAGTTAAATTCATCATTAAATAAAATATCCCAAAAAAGAACTTAGTAAAACAAATAATAAGACTTTTAATTTTTGGGAAAATCTAATAAATAACATTTTGACTATTTTAAGAAAATATAAAGAACAAAATGAATTCACAAATTCTTATCTTTAAATTAATTAGCTTTTGACCAATTTCTCCATTTTTCCCTATAAATAGATTTCTTAAGTTGTAGACTAAACCACACCACCATTTTCATTGCACCATTTCACATCACTTTTCTAATATGACTGACACTGATAAGAACCACCGCAGTACAATCCAAAAAAGAAAGAAAATTGATCAAACTCCAATTTTATTCTTTATTTATTCTTTACCCAAAGAAAAAATTTAGAAAACTTTAATTATTTTATTTTTATATTTGAGGTAGTTACATTGAAAAAATCTCGAAAAAAATGAGTTACGATGATGAAATTGATATGGCAAAACGATGTTGAAGAACGAATAAGGTGATTAAAATACTTATTTTGAAGTTAATCTCCATATTCGTTGTTCAACATCGTTTTGTCACATCAATTGCTTCTACTAGAAGAAACTTGTTCTTTGACGACCATTTCTTAATGAAGGGATCCAAATCCTGTCGTATAAGTGTATTTATAGAGACCAATTTATTTTCAGATAAATCACTTAGATATGCAATATTGAGAAAATATTTATCATTTATGACAATAGTTTCTTTTTAAATAAATTTGAGAATTTTAAGGAATTAAAGTTGTAAAGCAGTATGACTCATTTATTTCGTGTTTGTGTCTCTTTCTCTACATATGATTTCTGTTTTCTTCTGGTTTAAAATTTTTATTCAAATAATGATCTTCAAATATTATTTCAAAAAATAAAAGAGATAACAATCTATGAGTTTCATATTTTCAAATCCATTTATACAAATGTTGCACGATTTTCTCCCAAAATAGCACAAGAAAACTAATATAAAGACACAAAATTGTACAAAATTGTATGTGCAAATTGAGATTTAAAATCTATAAAATTACAATAGGAAGAATTCACCATTGATGACCATAAAAAACATCAAGCTTTTCCATTTATTATTTGGGTTTTACAAAATTATGATGAGTTTTAATAAGTTGTTCTTCCATATTATTGAAAATAACAATTGGAGTTTATATCTTTATTTTAGGGGATATTGATTATGTTTAACATTGTTTTTTGGAGAAATTTCAAAATAAAACTCTTAAGACATGAAGATTTTGGAATTGTTCTGCAACTATATTAAAATTGAATTGATTTGTTTCATAATTATATTAAAATTGAATTAAAATCATGTACTATACTATTATAATGCATATTTCAAATATATCCTCTTCTTTGTGATACTAATTAGAATAATTTAGGTAATTCACGTATATCCTCTTCTTTGTGATACCTATTAGAATAAATTAGGCAATTCACTTATAATATATTTATAATACAGGAGCAACACATATTTAATACTTATTAAAAATATATGTATTAAAATTGAATTAAATTTTTTTTCATGATTGTATTAAAATTGAATAAAATCATGAACTATACTTTAATAATACATATTTAAAATATATCTTGTTCTTGGTGATACCAATTAGAATAATTTAGGTAATTTACATGTATCCTCTTCTTTGTGATACCAATTAAAATAGTTTAGGCAATGCACTTATAATATATTTATACTACAGAAACAACACATATTTAATTTATATTACAAATATCACCTATTTCTTGATAATATTAATCAAAATAATCTATACAACTCATATAATACATGTTATATATGTTCACAAAGATATGTTTAATTCATTTTGTAGATCATTCTCCTGTTTTTCGTTGATTATGGTTCTTATCTATTCTTGATTTTCTATTCTAATTCAACTTGAATATTGCGTAATGCCATTTTAATACAAATTTAAGTAATCTTGCAGTTTTTTATTTATTTGTTTCTATTTGATACTAGTTTAATTCAATATTGATGTAAGTTTAATTCACCATATAAATTAATGTCTTTTCTTTATTTAGTTATTTTTTATTCATGTTTAATTGTTTCTTCTAATTCAACTTTAATATATGTGTAATACATTTTCAAAGATAAGTTTAATTCAAATTCTAAATTAATTGGTTGAGATGTTACGATTGAATCACTTGTTTAGTTTATTATTGAAAGAAGTTTTATTCAGTTTAAAAATAAAAGAATGTTTATTTTTCATTTGCTACATTTGACATTCATGTTTAATTTTCTTCTGTTTCAACTTTAACATGGATTTAGTACATGTATAATTTAATATAATTCATTGGAAGTTTATTATGTGTCTCATTTTTAAAGACTAGATATCTTGTCTAATTAATTATTGATATACATTTTATTCAATCTAAGATCATCAATTTTTCTACGAAAAAAGTAGTGAGAAAAAGAGAAAAAAGAGCAACATAAATAGATGGAGAAAGAGTAACAAAAAAGAAAGCGTGGAAAAAATAGAGATATAGAAAGTTAGAAAGAAATAGAAGGAGAAAGAGTAAGAAATTAAAAAAAAGCGAGAGACAGCAAAAAGTGACAAATTTAAAAGCCGATTGAGAAAAACAAATCAAATAAAACATATAATGTTGTTATAGAATGTTACAAATGGTAATAATTAAATAATATATAAAAAAAGAAATTATTTTTAAAAAGAGATCAACTCAATTAATTAATCCTTTTATTTTCAAAGGTTA